TGATGTAACATCACCAATCTACCAGTCAACTGAAGGATCATCATTGTGATGTAACATCACCAATCTACCAGTCAACTGAAGGATCATCATTGTGATGTAACATCACCAATATACCAGTCAACTGAAGGCTGTTTAAGTTCAGAACATGTGCCCCTCGTTTTAAAACTAGAAAAAAATTACTCTCGTGATAATAATTAATGCAAGTTGGGACAATAAATATTAATTAACATTCTTCTACAAACATACATATATACACTGATTTTCAAATTGTGATATAACAAACAGTAGCTTGGATATGAAACAAAAACCCAACAAATGAGGGCTGTGATTGTGAATGAAAGCTCTATTCGGTACAACTAGGATGCTATCATAAATGTCACTTTAAGGGTTACTGTATTTCTTTAAACGCAGAGGCTCAACTGGATTAGTTTTTAATTATGCAACTGCCTTTAGTAATATACTTCTCAGAACTGTTACATACATAACATTCCACAATAACAATAATTAAATGTCAACCAAGAAATATTTATTTTCCAAAGCACTCTATACATGATAAAACAGTATTTAAAGCAAGACCAGATGTGACAAAACAAAAGCACAGTGTATACACTAGAATCTACGGTAAGCGGTCCTCATCTGTGCATGTGATTCAGTTGCAACTATAGAAATACTTTTTACTTACTTATTAATATTAAAACAATAAGCTAATGAAATTATGTTAAAATTTTTAAAGTTCATTGCAGTAATTTTAGAAAGTTATTTGAAATCATAAAAGCCAAGATAATACATAGTTAAATTTTAACTGAGAGCTGTAGAACACATGACAGCGACACCTCTTTCGTAAAAACTGTGCTTGTTTTGTCCTGATGCTGCAGCTAGATCGACAGTGAACAACAGTTCTGCCCGAGTGGAGTTCAAATACACGGGTAGGGTAACCTGAAAAAAGACGAATTAAAAATGTGCTGTCTTATTCTTAAGATGTTACAATGAAATACTAAGATATTTTAATTTTTAGAAACAGTTAAAAATGCATGATTTGAATAAAAATTTCAAGATAGTTTAACAAAGCTTCATCCAGCACTTTGGAGACGATATGCCAAACTGCTTGTACAAATCTTCATGTATTATAAAGGTCATCTTCAAACAACTACCACAGGTGAAAGAAGCAAAACTTCTAATACGAATCATTAACTGCCAGTTAAAATCCTCTTTAAAACTTGTGTAGGGTCCCCAAAAGTGTTCTCTTTCAAGAGAAAATAAAACCAAAATTACGAGTAAATATTTTTATTTCTTGCTTTTGAAATGCATATGTCATGCATAATTCTTCTTGTGATTCATGGTATGTGCATGTTTTACTTACATCACCACAGTACAAATTGACATTAAGCATCCCTTAGGTGACATAATTTTAGTGTCTTCTGACTGACTGACAGAGAGACAGACAACACACTACTGTACAATGGTGTGAGTGGTTAAAACAGGTGACCCAACAACAACCAGAACAATCAAGTTCCACAGTGTGTTTTACAGATCTAAACTCTGGAAAGCATTCTTAGAGAACGTTGAAAATATTCTAACAACTTACTTTCATGATGTCAGAAAAACACGTCTAAATATCAAATGATAAAAACCCTATAACCCAAGCACTTTCAACAGGACCTTTCTTCTTCAGGGGTGAACCGAAGAAGTACTTGGGTTATAGGGTTTTTACCAATTTATATTCTAACAACTTCATTTTTACTGCAGAATTCGTCATTCATAAATACAAAACAGAAAACAAAAGATAAACTTCATACTGTTAAAATGAAACATTAAACAAAACTGTCTTAAATTAGCCAAGTCTAAGTACAAAAATTTATTTCCTATGCAATAAAAACACAAAAAGATGAATTCAGCTAAAATACTTAAAAAACAGCTTTAAAGACATACTTAGAGCAAATATACATACATAAATATTAATACTACAGTATACCATTTATAGCGTACAACAGAGAAGAAAGGAACAATTTTAGTAAAGAATTCAATCTTATATTTTACCAGTTCCATTCTACATCAGCAACTTGTGAGCAAGAAATACTTCTTTGAAATAATACTTCTACATTCTCCCACCCACAAACTAAATAAGAAAAAGAATTTCCTTTCCTTACTGGTACTAATTAAGAGTTAATGAGTTTAAAGTTATTAAAGTAATATTTATCCATCAAGAGTAAACTTCTTGTAGTGTATTTAGAGAAAAAGACCCACAGAAATGCTCTACTTATTTACAATAAGGTTGTGCTGACCAGATTTTAATCATTGTCACGATTAATAGCATATTATTGGTAAAATTTGAAGTGGACATATTCTACAAAGAAAAGGAACATTAGAAAATCATTTTATTTAATTTTATGAAATAATCAGCAGATTGAAGCTGAAACATAGAATAAAAACTGGTCAGGCATTAGTAATTAATAAAAAATATACAACAAAATTAATGACTGTATAAGGTAGTAACCATGACAACAAAATGCTTCTTTCTCACTTCACCATATAGTAACCTAAATTAATTTAAGTATGTGAATAATGTTATGACCCCATGGATATTATATACACTTCACTATTATAAGAGGCCTAATGGTGTTTCTTTGGTTTGCTGACCCACACTGCGTGATGAGCCTTGAATAAACAAAACTGCCGTAGCAGAGAATATGGCCAATCAAAGAATGCATTAGGCCTCTACGTCACAGATTCTCTTCTCAATTTCACCTCTGGTGAACAAGAAAAAGATATTTAACATATATATATAGAAATGCTCTATTGTTTCTAGATATGATTGGTTTACAAAATGTATACTTTGTAGATTCTTCTGTGATCACTTTATCACAAGAGAAAATATTTGTTGAACTATAGCTATGGATAATGGCATGTTGTAATTTCTAATTGTTTTTGTGATTTTAAGTGAGATACCAAGCACTTTATACATGATAACGACAATCGAGTATAAAGTAAAATCCCGATATCTTAGATTTCAAACTATTAAGAGTTCACGTGTAATAAAACACATGCAGATGTGTTTATATACTCACCAAGTTTTTGGAAAACACTTCTCCAGGCTGAATCCTGCTTACAGAAAAAACAATATTTAATTCATTAGCTGTGTCAATAGTTACCAAAATACCAGAACACAAACTTTAAGAAATATTTATCTGAACAGTTTCATTTAAGCAATAAAAGAAAATGACAAAATATGTATGCAAGAACATTTAAAATCTAAGCTAAAATCATTCACTGCTCCTTAACATCACACATTTGAGGAAATACTATAAAACATGGATCATATTAGTTGAGAGCCAAGTTTACATCACTTAAAAATGTACTTTTATCTTTTTGGAGATTTCAATACAAAGTTACTACAGTAAATAAACAAGATACTTTAAAATGACACAATTAAACAAGTAAGAACTCACTCACTAACCCCCTCATTCTCCATACTTGAAACCTTCCCCACATGATTAAACAATAAAAAAAACTTATTCAACTCCCCCCCATTCATTCTCCAAAAATTAGACATCT